CAGAGGAAGACGGTAAGAAGAAGCGAGTACTTGGTTAGAGTAAAAAGTAGAACTGTATTTATAATAGTTAATGTCTGCAATAAATCACTATTTATCTTCATCTAACTATGTCTAAATACAAATGTGTAAATCAGTTATCTGCTCACCACTCATTGCGTGCGTCTGTCGTGGCGCGTCTTCGTTGGTTGATATAATGGCCTATATCAACCAATTAGGAACTACTTGGAAGTGCTACAGAATATTGTCCTTATGACAATATTCTGAGAATATAACTCTTATAGTTATATTCTATTAACAATTTCTTATAAATTGTTATGTAACGATTCACCCCATTACATCACCCCCCCCTTAACCATCAGTCACTTTAGTGACTGATTGACTAAATGGATACTCGTCCCAAATCATTTGGGACGGGGTTTGCACTTGTTGGTACGCGTCCACTTTCCAACATTTCATCGCATGGTAAACAAGCCCATGCGATGCGCGAGCAAGGCCGCCGAGAGCGCGTCTGCACGTCTCTGTGCGGACGCCGAAGCAGAAACTACAGAAACTGATGTCCCATCGGTTGCTGAATCGACTCAGCCTGTATCACCTGGTGATGCAGGCGCTGGTCATGAAGACACTCGTGTCTTCACAGAGTACGAGCTCGGTGTCTCGTACTCTCCTGATACGGATGACGGATCCGTATCGACGGCAATTGAATCCAAGCCGCCTGCCAAGCGTGGCATGGACGATGCTTTGCGTCGCAGCATCTTTGGTTCATCTGATGAGTCAGATGAACCATCGCCGAAGCGAAGGCGCTCGAGGTCGCGAGACTCGGGCGCTAATAGTGGTGTCGTTTCTCCAATGGACACCACTTCACAGCGAGGTGCCAGTACTTCTGTCGGCACGTCGCAGGAAGAGCGGGACCGCAATGTGTTGCGTCTCGCTCCAGAAAAGAAGGCATGGATGCCTCCTAAATCTGTCATGGATCACTTGTCGGCGACGACGAGTGATCGTTATCGAACACGATTGTTCGATTCGTCGAGGATTCATCACCTTGACCCCAGCGCGAAAGACTATCGCGCTGAACATGAGTTCTTCATCGATGCTTTCTTCAGACATCGATGGTACAGTGGGAATCACAAACGTGATGGTCCCTCACTACTTCAGGCGTGGAACGCCTACATCCATAATCTCGAGGATGTAGGTCGTGACGCTTGGAACGACAAACTTATCAAAGCTCGTGATAAGTTTGAAAAGCGAACCCCGACAGGTGCACGCTATAAGCTGCATCGTCTGTCAAGGGAGAAAGGATTACCCTGCCTCTCTTGGGGAGACTCGTGCCCATGTTGTGTGAACAACTCTGCACGAGCACCTAAGGAGGCTTACCTCCTTACCAGCCCGTGGTGGCGCGTACGTGTCTCTACTGAGATGTACGAAGGGATTGACAACCTGAAATCCCTTTACGACCGTGCCGGGAAGACTTTCTCCGGCGGTCCTTCTGCGGCACAGGATGTGTCGCGTCGTACTGCTCGACCAGACCCAGTACGTCAACCATCAATTGGGAGCGGGGCTCCCAAGAATCCCAGGACGGGGGATAGCCGCGCCACCGGACGAGGTAACTCGTCCGACGTCCGTTCACGTCGCGGTGGTTCAACAGCTGCTCTACTAGATAGCGCTGGCCACCGCGAGAGTCCTCTAATGGAGGTGGAGGAGGAGGAAAGACGCTCTCCACACGATCATGTGGATCGGTGTGTTCCCGAGAGCTTCTTTGATCGCGTAACGCAAGGGTTACGCGACGATCTCGAGCATGAGCGGAATAGGCGTCTCCAGATGGTGGACACTGCCTCGAAGCATCGAGCTGAGTTTGCCTTTGCTCAGCTTGAGAACGAGAGATCTCTGACATCTCTTCGTGACGAGCTAAGGGTAGCTCGTGGGATTGTTGATCGGTCTCGGGCTGAGATAACTGCTCTTCAGACCCTTGTTGATGCCCACCATCGGGAGCACAAGGCTCTCTGCGAGATGCTTGAGCGCAAGGGCGTTCTTCATCGGAAGAAGCAGCGTACTGATGGTACGGCTTAAGCCGACCAACGTAAAACGTGGGATGCGTTCGCATCTTACGTGGTAACTCGATCGTGTATGCATTGCCTAGGCGGTGCAATACACGAAATGGGCCAATGTACTTGGGTAGTAGTTTACTGCTACCCAAGTTAGTCACTACATGTTTTGGTAGATTAACCGTAGACAGTAGGACTAAGTCACCTTTATTAAATAAAAGAGTGTTTGCCCTTCCATTCTTGTCAGCGTTTTGCTTTTGCTTATCCACCGCTTCGGCGATGGAGTCTTGCACAAAACGGACTACCGTTTCACGAGCCAGTATGAACTCATCTGATGACTCGTTAGCTTCAGTGTGCTGTGAGCGCACTGCAGCGACAACAACCTTTTCTTCAGTGAGGGCTTCCGCACTCTCACTGGGATCATTGTCTTCAGTGAGGGCTTCCGCACTCTCACTGGCATCATCTTCTTCGATATCGATGTTATCGATATCGGCATCAAACGCAATGACTTCTTCGTCAGAGCGTGATGAGCGTGAACCAAATCGGTTTTTGCTCGCGCGAGTCCCTCCCCCCTTAAACCAGAGTTACACTCTAGTAAGGTGGGTACACGCGGATGGCGCAAGCCATTCACGTAAAACGGTGTATGTGTCGTGGACGCATGCACCGAGTTGTTGATGGCAAACTCTACCATCGGCAAAAACTCACTCCAACTCTTAAAGGAGTGTACGTATCCTCGAAGTATCTCTTCAAGGACACGATTGGCACGTTCCGTCTGACCATCTGACTCTGGATGATCAGATGTTGACATCTTCAAGCGCGTTCCGAGTGATTTGAACACGGAACGCCAGAAATCAGCAGTGAATCGTGGATCTCTGTCTGATACGAGTTCACGGGGCAACCCATGAAGTCGGAAGATGGTGTCAATAAAGACACAAGCACAGCCACTTGCTGTGATTGACTCTGGTACAGCCACAAGGTGTACCATTTTGCTGAATCTGTCAACAAATACGAGAAGACCCGTATTCCCGCGTGCGTCTTTGGGTAACCCGAAGACAAAATCCGTCGAGATGGATTCCCAGCACTCAGCCGGAACCGGTAGAGGCTGTAAAGGTTCACGCAGTGAAGGACTTGACTTCACTCGTTGGCAGACTTCGCATGCGCGAACATACTTTCGCACAAACTGATACTGGCGGGGCCAGTAAAAGTCTCGACTTACCGTGAGATATGTTTTCTCTCGGCCACGATGTCCTCCTATAGGAGCATCGTGATACTCGAACATGATCCGCAAACGCAGATCAGTATCATCTGGAATGACAACACGTGGTGTGTCACCAGAAACGGCTGTATAGTACAGTAAACCGTTACGAGTAGTGTATCGATCTGATGCAGATCGATACGCAGACGACAATCGTTTCAACGATTCTCGAGATGGTTGGGAGAGATGTGACAACAACTTCACTATCTCACCATCTTGGGCGTATGCCCGCCTCACATCATCATACAACGTTGTAGATGGAACTGAGGACGTCATAACCGCAACAGTGACTGTCTCACTGTTGGGTTTCGCGACTGTTTCAAAGTCGGGACGACGTGAGAGTGCATCAGCGACGACATTAAGTCGTCCTGGTTTGTACTCGACCGTAAAGTTGTATTCTGCAAAGAATGACAACCACCGCGCCATTCGTTGTGAAAGGTGCGGGCTGTTCACTGCCGTGCGTAAGGACGCATGGTCAGTGTAAACAACGAAGGGTCTATCTCCTAATAGATAGACTCTGAACTTCGCGAGTGCATACTTCATGGCAAGGAGTTCCTTGTCATGCACTGGATAGTTCCGCTCAGCTGGTTGCAGCTGACGCGACTGATAGCAGACGACGCGTTCAACGCCTTCAAGGTCGTACTGCATTAATGCACAGCCGATTGCGAAATCGCTGGCATCACAGACCACATGAAATGGCCTGTCCTGATCGGCTATTGCTAGGACTGGGGATTGTATCAAGCTCTGCTTGATACCCTCAAAGGAGCGTTGACATTCAGCGTTCCATAACCACCTCTCGTTCTTTTTCAACAAACGAGAGAGGTGTACAGTCATCTCGGCGTAATTGCGTGAATACTTATGCAAATACGCCGCTAGCCCAAGGAATTTTCGAAGACCTTTGACATCGACCGGCACGGGCCAGTCGGTGATCGCCTTGATCTTTTCGGGATCAGGACGTACACCGTTCTTACCAACGATGCACCCAAGAAGTGGTATTTCGCTTGCTGCAAATATACACTTCTTGAGGTTTGCATACAATTGATGCTTTCGCATGATTGTAAGAACTTGTCGGACGTGGTACTTGTGAACCTCAACGTCCGACTTTCCATCCATAGCTCGACTATGGATGAATACGTCATCGAAATAACTCGGCGCGAATTCTCGTACTGGCCTCAACAGATGTGATACACACCTGTTGAACGTGGCAGGGGCATTACTGAGCCCTTGTGGCATTACTAGCCATTCCCAGAGCATGCCGCTAGGCGTGCTAACTGCGGTATAGGGTATATCCTGTTCCCGCATTAGGATTTGATAGAAGCCATCCATCAAATCCATGGACGAAAAGATGGTACTCTTTGACATACCATCAATGATTACGTCCTTCCTCGGTATCGGCGTCTGAGCCGGTACCGTTGCAGCGTTCAATTTGTTAAACGCGTGCACTATCCGCCACCCTCCTGTTGCTTTTCGCACACAGAAGGTCGGAGAGCTATGTGGGGGAAGTTGATTCCCTCACATGGCCCGCTGCTAAACGATCGGCAAAGAACTTGTCGATCGCAAGTACTTGTTCACGAGGCAGTGGCCACTGCTTCATGACACAGTACTTCGAGCCTGGTTTAAGCTCGACTTCGTGTCGAATACCTTTATCCTTCGGTAATTCGCACGGAACAGTTTCAGGGAATACATCCTTGAATTCAACCAAATCTTCATAGAGAGGATTTTTCCTTGAGCGATTCCCATGATTGGGACTCATATCGCTCAATTCGTGTCTTTTCATCTAGGACACTCTCGTCCATAGATGAACTACTGAGAACTCTCTCGTTCTCAGTAAACACTGTTGCTGACCTTATGTCGGTTACATACTCGTCGTCAGCGACGAGTATGCAGATCTGCTTGACTTTGCCACTACGCAGATCACGCAAGAATCTTTTATGTTCGAGCGTTGGCAACTGAGTGATCTCCGAAGTTAACTTCGGAGGCGCAATCAGATCAAGTGTATAAGCGCCTACACATGATCCGTTATTGACTATGACATTCAATGTCTCTGTCATTTCCTGGGGACTTATTCCCTCAGGCTTCGAAGGACTTATTCCTTCGTCTTCCCGGGGACTTATTCCCGCGGGTTTCGGGGAACTTATTTCCGCCGTATTTGTAATCTTGGGACTTATTCCCTTTACTTCCTCTAGCTGGGGTTGCGCAACCACAGCGAGATCCTCTACGAAAGACTCTCCAGTCGATCTAGGATTATCGTTTCGCTTAACCTGAGCGATCGATTGTTTCTCTTCTAGATGTTCCCCTCTAGGGATACATCTTTGTCCCAGTCCACCCGACTTATTCGAGTGGTGGACCTTCGGCGCAGCCTGTGTTTCCTCACAGCCGCCGGAACTTGGCTCCGAAGTGTAACCGTTTGGTACACTAAGGTTTTGTGCAGTCGTACTAACGACCGTACCACAAGTGAGGCCATCGCACTCACTCGTAGTACATCCACACGCTTGTGGACGCTCCAAAACGTTCATCAGATGGCCATCTGATGAACAAGCGGCAGGCATCGTTACTGTCCGATGTTGCCAGTTTACCCGTGGTTCGTACCTTCTGAGCCACGGTATTCCAAGGATGACATCAAATTTGTCATCCAAATCCAATACGATAAAGTCATCGTCGTATTGGGTATCTTCTAGCGTATAGTGAATCTTCACTATACGCTTCATGACGGTTACGGATGCGCCTGTCGCAAGACGTACCGTCATCCTCGTAGGAGGTGTGTCACATTCACTGAATTTAAAGTGACCATCTTCTAGCGATTGGCGTCGCACAAAATTGTTGGACGCCCCACGATCGACTAGAGCTCGAAGGGACAACTTATTCGTCACTTCGAGTTTCAAGGTAATGGGTGAGATCTCATTACCTAGAGCAGCAACGCACAACGTCTGTGTGTTGGGAGCAACCTTCATCAAGAGGCCTACAAATTCTCTTGACGTTGCTGGATCAGTAGGGTGCTCCGCACCTACTGATCCTGTCCGTTTTTTGACGGTCCATCCCGTTGTTGCGTCTTTGCACCAACTGCGGACCCTCGTCCCTGCCCCTTTCTCATGGGTGGATCGGTCACTACGCCCAGTGTCGCGAGACACTGGACGAGGGGCACTACACTCGTAAGCGTAGTGTCCTGTCTTCTGACATCTGTTGCATCTCTGCAACTTCTTGTAGCCTGTAGAGCGAACCTTCTCGCTCTCTACATAACAGAGTTCCATCGGCTCTGGACCTCCGTTGTCATATCGTCTCGGTTGACGATATGATGTCGAGCTGGCGCGAGCCTGTCTCAGACTGAAGTCTTCCTGCTCCGCAATGGAAATGGCTTGTTCTAGTGAATCTAGTTCAAGCCGGAACAGGTGAGTCTTGACGGGACCATCCGCAAGACCCTGCATGAACACCGAAACCAACGTGTGTTCATCCACTGGATTGGAACTTATACAACTCGTAAGATGTCGTATGTGTTGAGCGTAAGCGTGCACATCACGCTTACCCTGCTTGAGCTTCAAGAGTTCGGTTCGAGCCCTGAACTCAGCTCTAGGCGGTTCAAACGTTTGTCTGAGCCGCGACTTGAAGACTTCCAACGACCCAAACGCATATGGGTCGTGCAGCTTGAGCCCCAGTGCCCAAGTCTTGGCACGTCCTGCCAGATTTGACTGGGCAAATGCAACTTGCATATCCCCGTCGTCGATGCGACGCGCCCTTATGGCGTCATCCACTTCGACGAACCATCTCAAGAGGGAGTCTTCTTCGACCCCTCTATACTTTGAGATGTCAATCTTCAAAGTCTCGGGTCGACGCGAGTGCATCGACCCGCCAGCAGCAGCTTGCTGCTGTCTCAACAGTTCAAACTGTTGAGCACCTTGTTCTCTCAACAACTCTGCTTGTTGAGAACCTTGTTGGTGAAGCAAGGCTACTTTCTCGCGTTCTGCGTCAAGTTCATTTTGAATGAACTTGGCGATAGTAGCATGTTGGGCATCTCTATTGAGAGCCTCTAGCATGACGCTAACAGCATGGATGCCCATGGTCGAACCCATTCGTTCAACCGCATCCCATTCGACATCGCTCAAATGGGAGTAGCCGTCACGCGTAGCGTGAAAGCTTTGGTCATCTTCATCATCCAACATATTCATGTTAGATGTGAACGTGGTCCTTGGACGGACTACGAAGTGCTACCAGGTGTAACGGGGCACCCTGAAGCTTGTACTGGTGACAGTACAAGCTACTTATTCTGATAACAGAATAAGGCGGTGCCTCGTAACTTCACGTACACTCGTACGTGCAGAGGAAGACGGTAAGAAGAAGCGAGTACTTGGTTAGAGTAAAAGTAGAACTGTATTTATAATAGTTAATGTCTGCAATAAATCACTATTTATCTTCATCTAACTATGTCTAAATACAAATGTGTAAATCAGTTATCTGCTCACCACTCATTGCGTGCGTCTGTCGTGGCGCGTCTTCGTTGGTTGATATAATGGCCTATATCAACCAATTAGGAACTACTTGGAAGTGCTACAGAATATTGTCCTTATGACAATATTCTGAGAATATAACTCTTATAGTTATATTCTATTAACAATTTCTTATAAATTGTTATGTAACGATTCACCCCGTTACACTCAAAGCCACAATTGCTTCGTTAGAATGCGTGGTCCTCTTTTCGTTTGATGGTCAGTGTGTCTGTCCAACAGCTCATCCACAATCAGTACGAGAAGGAGTTTGTCGATGAAATGTTGTACGTTTCGTTAATTTTGAGAGAAAATCTACAACATGGCCGTCTTATCCTGAACTATTTGCTAAAAACGAATACACGTTATGCGGAAGATTAATTCTAAAAATTTCAACGGTCGCTCTCCGATACTTCTGTGGTGTTATTGGTGATTTGAGATATTTGTGATCGTAGTAAGACTTTGTACGTGAGATATTGTTTTTCCTACGTACTAACCATATAACAATCAAAAAGTCAAACATTTGACCTCGTCTGGAACGTATTAATTGAAAAGGGTATATGGGACGCCAGCAAAAGTGCTCAAAAATAAAGTTCGATCATATTGCAAAATGGGGGTTTTGGACTGAAAGCAAAGCAATCTATCTTGGACGAAGCATATCAGTACCTACTAGCCGTGGCAAGTTTGGCAAGCTGTTCAGATCAATTTGTGCTCCAGTACATCTGTGAGGGGGCTACGCTGGAGGTGCGACAAGACATCCAAACAGGACTTTTGTGCGATGATATTCGCATTAAATTAAAATCTCGCACATGTGGCTAACACCTTGTCTGATAGCCGTAAATTAGCTATTACGTCTATGCCTCCGACGCGATTGTGGTGTCCCTTTTGAAATATCGGGGGCGTTAAGTTTGAGACCGCAGCAACGACGGATCACCATTTACGACTCACGGTGATCTACAGCAAGCTCATCATTGTCTCGAGTAAACATGTCTCGATATTATTGCATTTTCAATCATGATAGCAATTTACAGATCAGCAACAGATTCCGAATCCCCTCAAATATCGGCCTTCTATTAATTTGCAAGAATATAAGCGACGGTCACGCTGTATAATTGATAAGCGAATATCTCTTGTGCTAGGTCAACAATACATCATTGTTGACCTTGCTATGGCGACATTACAACTAGCGATAGCACACCTGGCCCGTCCCAATTGCTTATTTATAGGCAAAGACACTGGCTCTTCACTTGAACCACTTGTAGTGTTGGTAACACTTTCCGACGTCTTCATCGACTGGTCCAAAGCATCCCCAAGCGGAGTTTATTAACGAACTCACACCCAACATCTCTTGACAGGAGATCGCATGCCAAGAATGAGTTTTGTACAAAAACACTCTTGCCTTGCTGCATATGTGTGTGGCTATTGTGAGGACTTGTGGCTTACGTGGTAAATTAAAAACTGATTTACATTGTTCCTTAGTTCGCTACCCTGTGCTACATCTATGCCTACCATTCTATGTCGTTCTAGAATGTTCCTAATGACGTCATACTATGACGTCATACTGTGAGATCAGACCGTGACGTCAGACCGTACGTCAGACCGTACGGCAGAACGTGACGACAGACCGTGACGTCATGGCTATCTAGCATATAGCTAGCTCAGTTGTACTGCGCGACTCGGCGACATGACATCTCCCCGGACTTGACTTCGCGTTGGTGGTCTCGAAAGTCATGTACTAGTCGCTGCCAATGCGAAACATGGCGGATAGCTTTTTCGCGGTCCCAAGTAATGTCACACTCCGGGAGGTTGTGCCATTTCACTAGCCATATCACTTGGCGGCTGCGCTGACGACGACGAAGCACCTGTTTCAAAATGTGTAGTTCCTTCCCAGTATCAGCCTCTAGGATGATTGGTGCGGCCTTCGAAATTGGTCGTACAGCGAACTCGGACACATTCAACATATATGGACAGAGTAGGTCGACGTTAAACGATGGATGCAGTCTCTTCAAGTTTCGCGGAATCTTTAGTTTAGCTACATTCGGGTTGATCATCGAGATTATTTCAAACGATCCAACTTTCTTCGCTGTGAGCTTGGCTTTCTTTAACTCCATGTGAGCGTTGATTGTTTTGAGTACAAGGTTCTTGGTGTCCAGCAGAACTAAGCCACCGACACTAAGGGTGAAGCTTGCTCTTTTCGAGTCGTAATACTTCTTCTGTCTCTCCTGGGCTTGTTCCAGATTTTTGCGTGCCTTACGCACTAGGTCTTGGCGATCCTTGGCGACCTTTAAGGCGAACTCTGTGATGGGTTGCGGTTCCATACTATCGTAGTCTCTGTATTCGTGAGCAACCAAACTGGATCCTTTTTTTCCGGTATCGATCTCAAATGGGGTCAGCTATGTTGACGCGTTTACTGAAGTGGCGTGCGCGTATTCTATTGTACCTAGTAACTTGACCCAATTTTCTCCACGGTACGATACTAGGCAGCGTAAAGCGTCTTCTAACACCAAGTTTTGGCTTTCTGTTTGTTCATCCGCTTGCGCTCTATGAGCGGTCGTCATGCTTAGCTTGACACCCATTGTGGTCATTAGAGATTTCCAAAATCTTGCCTATAACTTTGGATCCCGATCGCTGATGACAACCTTCTGCAGTCCATGATGTCAGACAACGGCATCGAAAAATAACTTGGCTGTGTCTTTAAAATCTGCGGTCGTATACGTCGGCGCACAGATTGGTCTCTTCGCCAACTTAAATATGATGACACAAATAGCGTCGTACCCTTCCGACACGGGTAATCCAGTAATGAAGTCCATTGACACAACTTCCCAGCATTTTTTCGGAATGGGTATATGTATCAATAATCCCTACTATCGTTGGCTGTTTGACTTCCATCGAGCGCATGTTTTACAAGTCTCGACGTGCTTGTGCACCGTCTCCAGTATCTTCGGCTAGTGGTTTCATTGCTTCAACTTCATGTAAGTTCTGCGAACTATTGGATGTGCTGCTTTGGCTGCATCACGAAACTCGCATAGAATCGTCGTCTAATTCCGGTATGTCTGGAATGCAAATTTGTTGCATTGCATCATCTTACTTCAGATACATAAGTCCTTTGTCGATTAAAAGTTTTTTTCGGCTGCTTGGTCTTCCAGATATGTTTGAAAAACTTATCTTTGCTATAGCCCTGCTGAATCACTTTGCGCACTGCGTCGTTGATATGGATGCGCACAACATGCAATCCGGCGTTGTGGATTTGCTCTTGAGCGATTCCTATCGGGATACTCCCCCCCCCGCACTTGTACATCGTCGAGTAAGAGTTGGGAGACTTTTAGCGGAAGGTTCTGAAGGAGCGCAGCGTTAACCATGTGCGTACTCAAAAACGTGAAGTGTTCATCACAGGCATCCACACACTCACGGACGACGTGCGACGTATCGGGAACATGGTCCGTACTCACTGCGGAGTCGATGGAATTCTCTCGAGACATGGTTAGACGAAATAATGCGTCAGCCACCACATTGGACCGACCCTTGACCTGATGTAAGACATAGTCAGACTGGGAAGAGAACGTTAAAATACGAGCCATCTTTGGAGACACCTTGGAATGGTGGAGCATCCACCTACACGCGGAATTGTCCGTATAGACTGAATGTGTCTTTCATGGAGATACGGACGCCGTCTTTCGAGAGCCGTCTTAATTGAAAACAGCTCTTTTTCGTGAGCTGGCCATCTAAATTCGTGGAGGCCAAGATGCTTTAAAAAACGCAATGGCATGGTCGTTGCCGGTGATATGTTTCGAAAGAACACCACCCACGCAAAACCCGGAAGCATCCGTTGTTACAATGAAAGGGTTATTAATATCAGGCAATTTCAGAGTCGGAGACTGCTGAAGTGCGAGCTTTTAGGCGTTAAACGCTTTTGATGATCGTCCCCCAGCTCCATGCAGTATCTTGTTTGGTCAACTCTCGAAGAAGACGCGAAAGTCGTGAAAATTGAAGATGAATCGTCGGTAACGCCCAGCTAGTCCCAGAAAACTCAGCAGCTCCTTGCGACAGGACGATGTTTGGAACGTTACTACATAATCTGTTTACTTTGGGTCGACGCGTAGACCAGCAGCTGAAACCAAATGCACTTAGAATGTGATTTCTTTGCGTCCAAATACGCGTTTGAAAGGGTAAGCCGTAAAGCTTCTCCTTGAGCAACACTTCGCAGACGGCACGAACTTGGCCGACGTGGTCCTTCGTAGTACGGGAGAAGGTGCAATTGTCGTCCTGAAAAACGACAACGAAGGTGCCTATCTTATCAAACAGCGTTCGCATAAGACTCGACCAAACCCCAGGAATTCCTGGCAAACCCAATGGTGCTACACACCATTAAAACGTTTTTTATGGGTTCTAGAAGCCGTACAGGGTCGACTCGATGGCAAGAGATAGCATGACTACCATTTGATAGTACCCTTGAGCAAGATCGAGAAGCGTAAAGAACTTGCATCCAACCATGCGGTCGAATCGTGCTTTGATCAACGGCTAAGGAATTTTTGCCACGACGGAAATGCTATTCACATAGTGATAGTCAATTACCAAGCGAATAAGACACTTCGAATCCCCGCTTCGAAGCCAATTGGTGCGTTTTAGGAAGTTTCTGGTCGTGGGGTCTTTCTTTAGGATTCCAAAAATTTTGGAGACCCATGGCGAGTTGATTACTACAATCCATCCTTGTCGTATATTCTCTTCAACGAATTGCTGCATTGCGTCTTGTTCAACCTTCAAAAGACGGAAGGAGGTACGGGCCCTCGGTACCGCATCAGGCTTGATTCGCAGTTCGAAGTTCACTGCGAACTGCGAATCACTTTGGAGGCATTTCGCTCGGAAGTTGTTCTAAGAATAGTTTTGTACTCGTCTAGAACTGGTTTCTACTCTTTCGATATTTCTGATCTTTCGACGTTGGTAACCATCAGCTGATACATCTCCCCGTATGCGTTAATGTTCAGTTTCTCTTAAAGGGTAGGACAATCCACGTCTTGTTACTTCGTGTGAGATACAACCTCAACATGTTGCGATCTCCATTCGATCCTTGGGTTGTACTTGGCAAACCATAATTGACCAAAAACTAAGTCATGCGTATCTAGTGGGTCCCATTCTTTTAACTGCATCCTGGGAAACCCCATACCGTCGACGCAAACGGTATCTTCAACTCACTTTGTGGGCTGACTCGATGTCCACGTTCCGTCAAAACGACGCGCTTGTACCTTCTGTGTGCTCAATCTTTTTGAGGCCTGACCAGGTTTGATCAGCTTTGTGGATTCCCTAGAGTCGATCAACTCTTGACGGATTTGTTTCAACGATACCATTACGCACCAGTATTTGACCCTGCACTGGTATGACCGATCCAAAGCTGCTTCATTGGACTTCAATTGGTGAGGCTTCTGTCTTCTCTTGGACCTCCACGGCATTTATCGTAATACGATCAAAAACATCTGATTCCTGTTCGTCCTCTCGGATGTCCACGTTATTGACATGTTGACGGCTTACATTTTGCTGCAAATTCCGGTCTGAGCGAAGGTTACCTCGGTCATTACGTGGCTGGCGATGACGACACTGGGCGGAGCGATGATTAGGACTTCCGCACTTAAAGCACAATTTACGGCGGCGGCATTCATCACGAGACGGAATTTGCACGTGGCTGGAGTCTATTGCCTCCGAACCATCGTTCGATCGATTTGGTTTACGTATGACCTGTACCGCGGTCTATCGTGCGAAAGTCCTCGAGAATGTCTCTGCGGATAGAAACGTTTTAAGTCCAACGCAACCTTAATAGCTTCGTAGAGCGTTGTACAGCGACGGTACTTAACTTCTTACCGCGTGTTACCCGTAGATCCACGGAGAAAGTACATGGTCTGGTCCAGCTCGCTCATCTCTCGAACTTGAGTGACTACGTGGCGAAAGTTGCACACATAATCAGGGATGTCTTCGCGATCGCGCTCTCTCATGTTGTTCATATCCTCGCGCAGACGCTCTTGCAAATCAGCCGGAACAAATCCACGTTCGACTTTTACAAAAAAAAATTCCACATTTGTGACATCCTGTTTTTGCATCACATACCACTAATAGGCTCCTTACTTCCGTGGTTCGCCTAAGACAGCGAGTATTCTTTGCACAAGGTCTAGACTCTTTCAGTACACACTTGTTGCAAAAAGTACTGTTCCACTTGCTCCTTGTAGAGTTGAAAGGATTAATCCAATCTGCCACCATACGTCGGAAGTTTCACACCCTCTAGCTTGCTTTTTCCGAAAGCTGTTTTGATATCTGAAATTGATCGAGTAGTTGCGCTTGTTTTTCCATAATTGCACCCATAGAGAGCAGCAATTGTGCATACTGACCGGAAGTCATCAGGGTGGACATTGTTGAACTAACATAGTTGTTAGATAATAAGAACGATTTGCTAACTCTAAGTGGTTGATCTGGGGTCCCTTTTGGCTCTTGAGTGCTTCTCTTAATAACCTTAGGTCAGGGTTTTAAAGACTTGTTCGACTTGGCGGTCGGTAGTCGGCTTACTGATATCGATATGTACCCTGGCGGCCCAGCAAAAGGAACTAGGATAGTCTTGACCTGGTGCTTAGCGATTTCGCGTGAGATGCATAGGCTCACCTTGCTCTCGAAGCTGAGCAAGTCACTTGCGTGCGAGAGTAAGCGAGCTCTGATGTTCTTGCGCGAGTCGGAGCGTTAAGACGTAACCAGGTGTTTCTCGAAGCGGCAAAGAATGCGGCTGGTTTGGCGGATCGATTCCAGCAGATCCGCGCGGCACTAATCGGCTGCGTCTGTTTCCTTTACAGACGGCTGGGCTAGCGAGTCGTTGATGTCGAGTCTCGTGGGTTGCTTCCGCGAGTGACGGGTCATGAACGGAGGAACTGACCATCCGTTGACCAAACTGTCTTATAACTGAAACGAGACGATTTATGGCCACTTGAGACGTAAATCTCGATAACAGCAGCAGTAGTAATGGCCCGGTAGGATTTACAGTCAGTGAAAAGGAATTCCTGCCCTCACAAAGATTGGGACTTACGATTGGTCTCTCCTGATCACTGCTCTTGCGGGACGACGGCGATGCAGTAGGGACGGCCGCGGATACGGCGGCGGATACGGCGGGGATGGCGAGGACGGCGAGGAAGGCGAGGACCAGCAAGTGCTACCAGATGTGAGGACTTGTGACTCACTTGGTAAATTAAAAACTGAATTAACATAGGTCCTTAGTTCGCTACCCTGTGCTACCTCTATGCCTACCATTTTATGTCGTTCTAAAACGTTCCTAATGACGTCATACTGTGAGGTCAAACCGTGACGACAGACCGTGACGTCATGGCTATCTAGCATATGGCTAGCTTAGTCGTGCTGCACGACTCGGTGACATGACAGCTATCCTATGTGTTGCTCGTGCGTAACCATTTACTGGTTATCGCATATCTCGATTTTATCTTTTTGATGGAATGCTGAAGCTACTTATGTTAATGCACCGAGACTTCCTAAAGCCTTTTTTTAATTTCAGCATTGCTCGAATTTATAAATGTTTGTAAGGCCTTGCCATTTGCTCGACCCTGTGTGTTTTAGCAGTGTATTCGTCCATCAAGAATGCTGAACAGTGTAGTGGATTAGAAATGTATCGGTGAAAATACCCATTTATCATTTTTAGCCACTATTCTGGTCTCATGTACAATTTCTTTCACAGAAGTGCATGAAATGTTAGTCAAGATACTTGGCGGATATCGCCAGTGTAAACTCATAGTATAATGACGCCAACAGTGCAGATGAAAAAGTATCATGATGGTCGGTTTAGAGGAAAGATCGGGTTTCAGCGCACATGCGAGCGAAAGACTTACGAAGGCACCCTACGCTTAAAGTCAAATCTTTTCGGGCGTGGATATTGTTGCCGATAGTTGATCGTCCAAGAAGGTCGCGGAGAGCGTTGGCACGGTTTTGTCGCTCATGAATTGGTGGTACCAATTTATTAATTTTAATTTTATATTGCGATAATGGTCAAGCGAAGAGACACTTATCTGAACCTCAATCGATACTTTTTTAATTAAGGTTTCTCCGTCAAAGTACGTGTTTAGCTGGGACTTAACAGCTTGGGCGACGATGCGAAAAATAGCGGCGCGAGGGCTAGCAATCGGTGCGACGTCGCGGGGCAAGCAACGGTACAGGGGGTAACGACTTAGACATTAGACAACACCATGCCTTCAAAACCTGCACTGGTGAGAAATGAAGCATAAGTTTAAGAGGCTAAAGTTGATGCATGTACTTTTCTCGTTGCGCTACAAGCACTGCCTAAAACAATTTAAGGAGGACGACAGCGGCGGCACGCGTGTTGATCTGACGAGAAAAATGTCTCTCTGAATTCGGCGGACTCGACAAGAGTGCAAGACGGAAACCGGTGGAGGCCGTGATCAGCTTCATGACAGTTATTGCAATCGGTGCCAAGAATGTCGCAATATATAAACGCATGAAGCATTTTCGACTTCTGATGAAACCGCTTGCGAGCTTTCGTCTTCCGGATACAGGAAGTCGTGAAGATGTCAAAACATTTACATTGATGTAACTCGTGTCATCTTTTAATTTACCTTCCCCTGCGTCGCAAGACCGCTAAATTCTATGAGTCATTTATTTGATTCGTCTGCAGATGACATGCGCGCCAGAGATAACGTTGTTTCATGCGTAGAACCCGGTACAACTAATAAAATTTGTCGATCATGTGCGATCAAAAGCTGCTTCTTCGGGAGCAACAGAGCATGACGTAAATCATTTTGATGCAGCTTAGAAAACCTATCGACTGAAAGGATCTTGATATCTTTGCTTTTGTTATGGCCACCGCTATGATTATAATCTTGTGGTTTTATTTAATATTTCATAGACATCGAAAAGGGATCCGCTCGCGCTATTAAATTAGCTGTTGTTGTTTTATAGTGCACTTGCACTCTTTCAACTCATTTTTAAGTATGCGTTCATAGTGACTAAAATAAATAATACTGAAAGATGCCCAATGATGCCGAACGGGGCACTTGTGTGTATTTAGATACGCTAGAGTACTATAGTCATAAAATAAACTATCGAATGTAAACGACTTTTGATAGATTTAATAAACAGAAATATCGTGAGAAAAAAAGTAGTTAGTGCAATCGCTGGTAGCTGCTGCTAACGCTTCATAATCGATATGCTATTAATCATAAATATTATCATTTCAGTGTCCCATAGAATCATTCGTCTCTCCTCGTCGTCGTCAAAAACTTGCTTCGGCAGCAAGTTAAGATTTTGACGAAAATCGGAAGTGACGGATGATGATGAAAGTGCTTGGTCCCATATCCTTAGTAGCCTTTATCAATCCCGGGTCGCAAACGACGACGAATATCTTAGGGTACCATAGAAGCTCTTTAACGATCTTGTTCATCATCTAGTCATTGTTGTCGGCTGTTGATATTACACCGCTGAACAGGTACGTTTCATGTTGTTAAGATGATTATTTATAAGGAAAACACATAAGGGTTTTTGTGGTAGATTCAGAGGATTGCTATGGCACAGCGTCACTTAAAGGCTAAGAGGTAGCCCATGGTAGTGAACTAACGACCAGATATATTTTTACTTCGGCTTCTGCCTCCAACTACTCTACAGGTTTACAGCCGCAGCTTGGACCACTGCATCAACGCCAAAGAACGTCATTACCTCGCACGAAACGCACACGATGATACCAAGCACGCCGTTGTCCTCCGGGGAAAAGGAAATTGTTTTAACTGGGAGTTTAAGATGAGGATGACCCTCGCCAGGAAAGGTCTGCTGGCGCACGTGGAGGTGGTCAAGGAGGAGAGAGATAGCTGAAGATTGGCTAGTAGACGACGCGAAGGCTTTCGGCATCATCGCACAGAATGTAGATCAACAACACCAGACAAAGATCCGCTCACCTACGCGTGCGTGTCAAGCGTGGGTTACGCTTAGAAAGTTCTACAATTGAAATTAACTACACAATCGGGTGACGATGACACCACGCCTCCACGAGTTCAAGATGGATGCTGGAACGGCCATGGCAAAGCATTTGAACGCCTTTGACGAGCTCGTTGTCGGTATTCAGAAGCTTGGAGAGCCTGTCGACGAGGCACGGCAGCTGGTAGTGCTCCTGAATAGCCTTCCAGCCGAATACGAGCTGATATCATCTATCATCGAGAACGCCAAGGACATCACGCTCACCGAGGTGAAAGAGAAGCTGTTGAAGGAGTGTGAACGATTGTAGAGAAAAGATACGACTCCAGAACGAATGTTTAAGGTCAACACTGGACGATTCAAGGACAATAAGTGGAACGGTCGCAAGTGGAGCGGTTTAAAGAAGAACTCTAGTGGTTTTCGAAGCCAAATTTTCAAGCGCAACAAATTTATGCACATGAAGCGGGACTTCCAAATACGGATAGCAGATGACGATGACGATGCGGTATTCGCTAAAAGCACAGAACGTGTAAACGAATGGTTGATCGACAGCGGAGTGACCGCCCACATGACCCTGCACCGTTCTGATCTGTTCGAGTAAGAACATGAACGGCGGCATCGAAGTAACAGCCGCTGACGGAAAGAAGCTGCATGTCACTGGCCGTGGTACAGTACACTTGATTGGACTGGACGGCAAACAGATTAATATGTTGAATTTCTTCACATACCAGGACTTGATCGGCGTCTGTTGTCAGTGGAAATTTCTCGAATCGTGGCTTGAATGTGGATTATCAGCGTTTTTCATGTGTTATATGGGACACGCTAGCGTAATTGCAAAGAGTAACAAGGCGTACATGTTAGACTAACTATGACTAAGAAGAAGCTCAATTCGTTCAGTACGCTAAGTCTGGCAGCAAGAGGTAGATTTGGCACGCTCGCACCGGCATTCCAACCAAGACACTCTTACTAAGACGCGTCAAGCCAAAAACGGTATTCCGGCTATTAGTCAACTGACTAAGTCCTTATGTGGCGGAATCATGTAAGGATAGCAGACGGTGGCTACATTTCTGCATTGCTTCAACTCGAAACGTCTCGCTTTCTTTAGCTCGTCCACAAGGATGTAATGGGGCCCATGAAGAATCCATATAAGGCGGTGCAAAGAATGCCCTGACGTTCGTGGACGACTACTCGCGCTACGTTGTGGCCTATTTCTCGAAGAAGAAAAACGAGGTGGCCATTAAGATCAGAGAGTTCAATACGTTCTATAAGCAAAAATTAGTAGAACGCATCAAGTGTTTACGGTAAGATACAGGAACGGAGTTTGTGAATTAAGAAGTGACGGAGATGTGCATGCTGAATGGTATCGTACATCAACGGACTGTTCCGTATAACCCTCATCATAATGGAGTGGCAGAACGGATTTACCGTACCGACGTGGAGAAATCTCGAAGCTTGATATAATACAAGGGTGTTCCGACGCAGTGGTGAGCTGAAGCAGTCAAAACTGCGGTATATCTGATCAACTGTTCCACGAACACCCAAAAAGATAAAGTAACATAGTTTGAGCTGAGATTTAAAGTAAAGTCAACTTTAGACCATATACGCAAATTTAGTTTCTCGAGGCTACAATCATCTCGACAAGGCAAAGAGAACGAAGCTTGGACACAAGAGTTTAAGATGTCTGGTGCTTGAATACCCAGAAAACTTCAAGGGTTACCTCGTCTACGAATTGGACACTACCAAGATCAAATTATCTCGCTCAGTAAAACTGGACATAGCGAGGTGGGTGGTTTTTACGATACACTACCGGCTCATAATGGAACAGTCATTCATTTGACCACGGAAGCCGATGAAGCAGTCACACTTGCACAATTGAAACATCAACCCGTCGAAGAGAAACCAATGGAAGGTGTTGAGAATAACGCACCAGACGTAGAGATGAAGAGCATGCAACCGAAACAGAGCGCAATACCTCCGCTACTGATGCCACAAGAACTGTTGACTCCGAATGAAATTTATCTGGAGCCGTACCTTGGACCACCTACTAACTACGAGGAATATCAAGTGGTGTTCCATACCCCGGTTCCAGACGTTCCCGCGAACCCGATTTCCTTCTTAAAAATGGAAATGACGTCGATAAAGAACATTATTCGGAAGGAAGTGATGGGTGTCATCTCCAAAGCGTGTCAGGATAGATGAAGATAATCTTATTGCTGAAGTCGTTTTGCGTACGCAGCAAGCAATGACGCAGTGGATTTTCTACAACGTACGCTCAGGGATTCATTAGTGAAGATGATACGCATTGGCGTGAATTCATGGATGCTGAGCTGTTCTCACATAATCGGAACGATACCTGGACATTAGTTTCAAGATGAACGGCCATCCATACCCTTGGGTCCAGGTGGGATTTTGCCAAGAAGCGTGACCAGAACGGTCGCGTGGTGCGCTTAAAAGCGCGACTGGTGGCGAAAGGTTTCAAGCAGAAGTACGGAGTGAACTCTTTTGCAACGTACTCTCCAGTGGCGAACATGAACTTGATTTGAGTTGTACTCTCCGTCTGTGCTGCTTACGCGTACCAGATGAAACAGTTAGACTTTGATACATATTTTCTCAACAGTAAGTTGGGGGACCGTGTCTGTGTGAAGGTACCTCTAGGCGTTGAAAACACCCAGGACAATGTGTGCCGGCTGAACATGGGCATTTATGGATTTCAGCAAGATGCAAGTGCCTGGAACAAGACCATTCGTCGTATATTCCTCGACCACGGTCTCTAAATCTGTGTTGCGGACCAATGCGTCTACGTCAGGCGCTCCATGAACAGTTTTAAATACGTTTGCCTTTACTTCGATGATACAATCATAGCGGCGAAGAGTGATGATGATATTAGTGACGTGAAGGATGCACTAAAAACGCCTACTAGATGAAGGAGCTTGGACCGGCGAAGTCTATTCTGGGAATAAACATCGACCATGACGTGACTGCTGGAACACTTATGATCAAACACACGCGATACATCGATGATGTGGCGAACCGGTTCGGGCAAGAAAACTACAAGACGGTGGAAAATTCGTGTGCAACCGGTCTAGAGTTTTCAAAGTCGCAATCGCCAGCATCGGATGCAGAACGAAGCAAAATTCAATAAAGACCGTACCGTTACTTAATTTTGGTAGCCTGCTATACATCACGACGTGTACTCGCCCGGATTCTTCATTCGTTATAACGCAACTTTTTGGTTTATTGGATAATCCCGAGCAGTAGCATTGGAGCGCTGTTAAACGTGTTCTACGCTACTTAAAGACGACCCGCCAGCACGGGATCATCTACAAAAGATGGTACTAACAGCGTCGCAGACGAAGCCTACTCGGATGTGGACAAGGGATATAATCTCGACGATAGACATTCTGTCTCGGGTATCATGATCATGATTGGGATCGCTCACGTGGTGTTCAAGTCAAGGTTTCAACGAACGGTTGCCCTCGTCTCAGCAGAAGCTTAGTATGTGGCTTCAAGCATATATGTGGACGCGTGAAATGCTGACGGAACTGGTAATGGAAAAAGGAAGCTACGAGGAGGTAGGAGGATAAATAAGACGCAATTGCTTTGGCTCAGAATGCTGGTTATCAAGCTTGGACCAAGCGTGTGGAATTCATTTAAACGTCATCAGAGAGACGATCGAAGCCAGAACGGTTGCGCTAGCGTATTTGGACACCAAACATTAGTTGGCCGACATAATGACCAAGGCCTTAGGGTACAAGACGTTCAAATTCCTGCGCAATGCGAACTGTGTCCAGTGCAAGGTCACCAAGTGGTAGCGGTGAATGGTAGTGTTAATTTTACACCGATGAACAGGTATGATTCTTGTCGTTAACATAATAATTTACGGGTTAAATCATCAAGAATTTTAATGGTAGATTTAAAGGACGCCATGGAACAGCGTTGCATGAAGGCTTAGAGGTGGCTCATGGTAGTGAAATAAGTAGCTACACTTGACAGCCGAAGCGACTATCAGTAAAAATGCGACTATTAGTGAATGGGGTGGCCGTTAGTAAACGGTTGGCTGTTGTGTACGCAATCTAGAAAGCTGCGCTACCTTTATGGCCGACCGTAATGCAAATGAGGTCTACGCAGGAGCCAGAAAGACGGGTTACCTTCTCGGAAAAATAAGAGTAAATTCTCTATAGCCAAATTTGACTACTTGAAAAAATAAAGAACTCTTCAAAAGTATGACTCGAGATCTGACGTGGGAATATAAATCGACCGTACCGAGAATCTAACTGCGGACTCAAGGTGGTGAGAAGGTAAGGTATATTTAGGTACGCAAGCGACTTGCTTCATCCTGTCCTCAGGAAACAATTGTACCTTGTAGACATCAATTTTTATGTACTAGGGTAGCACTAGTCTTCGGACTGTCGAGCGGCGCGGCGCAAGGTGTTGTCTCTAGATTATCAGATCCCTCGCATGTGTTGAGCGGCTCTGTAGTCAGGTAAAATCAGCTTGGAAAACCTCCATCCAGTGACTAACATCATTGTCTAATAAGGCCGCGGCATCTGGGACGACACGGTGCCACGAAGTAGCGTGCACTTAAAAGGAGGCACACGAAAGACTGCTGAGTCAAACGTTTACACGGCAGGTACAGGAAGCGTATTGAGCGAGTTTTAGTTTGCTTGAGAAGGCAAACAAAAGCGGTTTCGGTCGGATAGGCAATTGGGGTTGCATAGGTGTCTCCCGCATCATCCTTCATGGTGCATATTGAGCTCAGGACTTCCTCCCCTAGTGCAGGGTCGGCGGTTGAGTAAAGTTTGGACAACAAGAGACCACAAATAAAGGATTTTAATTGTTAAGGACATGAACAAATCTGTTGACTGCTTTGCGAAAATATGGAAGAGATCCGGGTATTGATTTGGGGTAAAGAATTGTGGTCCATAACTCCTGGATGAGGTTATCGTGGCACAGCTCGTCAAACGAAGTTATTGGCCAGAGAATTTGGTTTATTAAATTTAAAATTGGTTCCTGGACGTCCCTGCCGAATAAATTTGCGGATAAAGTGAAGTTCGGCTGGGCATCAGTAGTCGCAAATGGAGCACTTAACGTAAAATACCAAATAATTAACGGTAATTTAACTACCGTTGATCAATCGATGTGTCTGATGCAAGTGAGAAATACTAGTAACACGATCTGGATTGGCCAGTTTCATCACTTAATAACGATAGATGGGATAAGCGAGTCGATTTGATCGATTTGTGCTGAATGATATGTACTAGAGGCCGACAACATAGACGAGTAGATAGATGTATACTCGACTAATTTGGT